TTTTTTTTTTTTTTTAATTAAATCTTTTTTGTTCAGGTTACATTTGTTCCTCTTTTTTTCCCCCTCATAACTCCCCTCCTCCCAGTTCCCGCCCCACCCTCCGCCCTCACTCCCCACCCACTGTCCTCATCCATAGGTGCACGATTTTTGTCCAGTTTCTTCCCGCATCTCCCATTCCCCTTTCCCCCCCAAGAATAGTCAGTCCATTCCCTTTCTATGTCCCTGATTCATTATAATCACCAGTTCATTCTGTACATCAGATTATTTATTCACTTGGTTCTTAGATTCACTTGTTGATAGATGCATGTTTGTTGTTCACAATTTGTATCTTTACCTTTTTCTTCTTCCTCTTCTTAAAGGATACCTTTCAGCATTTCGTATAATACTGGTTTAGTGGTGATGAACTCCTTTAGCTTTTCCTTATCTGTGAAGCTCTTTATCTGACCTTCAATTCTGAATGATAGCTTTGCTGGATAAAGTATTCTTGGTTGTAGGTTCTTGGTATTCAGCACTTTGAATATTTCTTGCCATTCCCTTCTGGCCTGCAAAGTTTCTGTTGAGAAATCAGCTGACAGTCGTATGGGTATTCCCTTGTAGGTAACTGAGTTTCTTTCTCTTGCTGCTTTTAAGATTCTCTCTTTGTCTTTTGCTCTTGGCATTTTAATTATGATGTGTCTTGGTGTGGTCCTCTTTGGATTCCTTTTGTTTGGGGTTCTCTGCGCTTCTTGGACCTGTAAGTCCATTTCTTTCACCAGGTGGGGGAAGTTTTCTGCCATTATTTCTTCAAATAGGTTTTCAATATCTTGCTGTCTCTCATCTTCTGGCACCCCTATTATTCTGATGTTGGTACGCTTGAAGCTGTCCCAGAGGCTCCTTACACTATCTTCGTATTTTCGGATTCTTTTTTCATTTTGCTTTTCCGGTTGGGTGTTTTTTGCTTCTTCGCATTTCAAATCTTTGGCTTGATTCTTGCGCTCCTCTGGTCTGCTATTGGGTGTAATATTCTTTATTTCAGAGCGTGTATGCTTAATTTCTAGTTTCTTTATCATAGCATCGAGGGTCTCATTAGTTTTCGTGAGGCTCTCCAGAAGTTTATTGCAAGCCCTCAAAATTGCGTTTTTTAGCTCTATATCCTCCATTTCTGTCATGTTTTTTTGTCTCCGCATTTTTTATGCTTTCTTGGTGCACCCCCTAGTGGTCTTTGTGCGCAGTCTTGTTCTAGTTGAGCCTTGATTGTTGTAGTTAATACTAGAGGGATTTGACCACCAGGCCGACTGGCTGTGTGAATCAGCTGTGTCTGCCGCGGAAAACTTCTGTCCTCTGGGGAGGTGCTAATCTAGCCTTTGCCTGAGGCGATCTGGCAAATGGCTCTGCGCAGGGCTTGGGCGGGGCGGGCTCAACAGGGCGGGCGGGCGGAGGGAGCGGTTATGGCCCCTCTCAGTCCCGTTCCCAGAGGCTCTGCTTCTCAGAACCCCCGGAACCGCTGCAAACCTCGGAGGGAAAGCTGCCTTCCAACTGATGCCAGACACTCCCGCTTCTCCCGTTTGGGTCCGAGTCCCCAGCGATTCGCCCGTATCTGGAGCTCAGAGTCTGAGACTCCCCCCTGACCGAAAACGACAACCGCGCTCTCAGCCACCAGCCCGCTTTGCGCGCGCACCTCCGCACCTGAGTATTTTCCACACTGCGCCTCCTCTGAGCCTCGGTGTGCTGTTATTTTTCCTTCTAGTTGAAGAGTCTCTCCTCAGCCAGCCTTCCTGTGGTTCTGGGTGATGTCCGTTCCGTCTTTTAGTTGTATTTTTGAAGTGGTTGTTTGCGGCAGCAGTCTGCGGTGTTTACCTATGCCGCCATCTTGGTCTCCCCTCCGAGAAGAGTAAACTTTTATATTGAAAACTATAAAACTTTATTATAAGAAATTAAAGATCTAAATAATGGGAAGATAACGTGTTCATGGATTAGAAGGCTTATTATTGGTAATTTGTAATACTCCCCAAATTGATCAACAGATTTAATACATCCCTATCAAATTCCCAGTTGCTCTTGTTGCAGAAATTGACAAGCTGTTCCTAAAATTCATATGGAAATGAATAGCCAAAACAGTTTTGAAAAAGAAGAACAAAGTTGGAGGACTCATATTTCCTAATTTTAAAACATACAACAAAGCTACAGTAATGAAGACAATGTGGACTAGTATAGGATAGAAATGTAGATTAATGAAATATAATTGAGAGTCCAGAAATAAACCTTTATTTATATTATGGGCAATTGATTTTTGACAAGAGTGCCAAGACAATTTAATGGGGTAACAAATTGTCTTTAACAAATGTTGTTTGGACAACTGGATAGCTACATACAAAAGAATGAACTTAGACCCCTCCTCACACAAATACAAAAATTAATTCAAAGACCGAATATAAAACCTAAATGTAAGAGTGAAAACTATAGCCCAGCTGACATGGCTCAGTGGTTGAGTATTGACCTATGAGCCAGGAGGTCAGGGTTCGATTCCTGGTCAGGGCACATGCCTGGGTTGTGGACTCGATCCTCAGTGGAGGGCATGCAGGAGGCAGTCAATCAATGATTCTCTCTCATCATTGATGTTTCTATCTCTTCCTCTCCCTTCCTCTCTGAAATCAATAAAAATATATATTAAAAAAAGAGTGAAAACTATAAAACTCTTAGAAAAAAACATAAATGCAAGTCTTTGTAACATTGGATTAGGCAATGATTTCTTGATATGCCACCCAAAACACAAGCAACAAAAGAAAAAATAGATTAATTGGATATTATCAAAATTTAAAACTTTTGTACTTTAAAAGATACCATCAAGAAAGTGAAAAATCAACCCACAGTACAGGAGAAAATATTTTCAAATTATATATCTGATAAAGGACTTGTATCCATATAAAATACTCTTTTTTTTAGAGAGAGAGAAAGAAGGATAGATAGAAACATCTATGAGAAGCATTGATCAGCTGCCTCCTGCACGGCCCCTACAGCCAGCATTCTGGGCATAGGATGTGCCCTGACCGGGAATCAAACTGATGAACTCTTGGTTCATGGGTCGATGCTCAACCACTGGGCAACACCAGCCGGGCCCATATAAAGTACTCTTACAATTCAAAAACAAAAAGACAATTCAATTGAAAAATGGGCAAAGGATCTGAATAGGCATTCCTCCAAAGAAGATAAACAAATAGCCAATAAGCACATGAAAAATTGCTCAACATCATTAGTCATTAGGGAGATGCAAATCAAAGTCACAATGAGATATCATACTATCTCATATCCACTAGGCTGGCTAGAATAAAAAAGATGTGTTACTTACTATGAGCTCTTCAACAAGGCTTTGGGTCTCTGCCTGCCTAACTGAATTGTGTAGTAGCAAAAGACTGGAGACATTCTAAATGCCCATCAGTAGCCCATCAGTAGGGGATGTACTAGTATATACATCAATAATGTGCAGCTTTTAAAAGAATGAGGTAGATATATAATACTAGCCAATATTTATGTAAGGGCAGATGCTATCAAGCACTTTGATGAATATTTCATTTAATCATAACAACTCTGTGAAAATAGTAATCATTATTAGCCCATTTCAGAAGACAACACTAAGGCACAGAGGTTAATTACACAGTAAGATCAGATCCCAGCCAAAGCATTTTGATTCCAGAGTTCATGCTCTAGTCCAGCAGGTCTCAAAGTGTGGTTTAGGAATCCCAAGACCCTTTTGAGGGGGCTGCAAGTGTAAAATTATTTTCATAATACAAACATTATTTGCCTTTTTTCATTCTTATTCTCTCAGGATTGTACAGTGAAGTTTTTGATATATATGTAATTATATCATCACTTTAGGTTTAAAAAAAATTTTTTTTTTGTTAATCCTCACCCGAGGATATTTCTTCCACTGATTTTCAGAGAGAGTGGAAGGGAGGGGAAGAGACAGAGAGAGAAACATTGATGTGAGAGACACATCGAGTGATTACTTCCTGCACACGCCCCAACTGCAGCTGGGGATAGAGCCTGTAACTGAGGTACATGCGTGCCCTGGACTGGAATTGAACCCATGACCCTTCAGTCCACAGGCTGGTACTCTAACCACTGAGAAAAACTGGCCAGGGCTGTGTTTTAAATTGGTTTTGTTTTCATTTCTAGTAAGGTAAATATTGATAGATATAACTCACATGAACAAAAGCTCTTTGGGGGTCTTTAATAATTTTAAAGAGTATAAAAAATTTTCTGAGATCAGAATGTTCAGAACTGACACTCTAGTCTAAACTATTATTCTATACTTCCCATCTCTGTTTGTTATGGATCAATCTCTAAGAGAAATTGTTAGTTTATAAAAGCAAGATTAATTTAGAGAGGTGATTATAATTATCTAAAAGCTGCCATTTAAGTAAGAAAAAATAGAAAGGTATCTATACATATAATCACTCTGTATATAGGACTCAAAGGAAACTTATAACAGTGGTTGTCCTTAGGGTGGGTTACTGGGTGACGGAATGGGGAAGCAGGAAATTTTTTCACTGTATATAATTTAGTACTGTTGGATATTTTTCTTCTACCATGTGTCTATATTAGCTTTTAAAAACAAAATTTAAAAAGATAGCCATAAGGAGAAAAAGAGAGAGACAGAGAGACGGAGAGACAGAGAGAGAGAGAGAGAGAGAAATGCACACAAATTAGGGTAGTTAGGTGTTTCTTCTAGTGTTACTGTCCTGTGGTTCAACTCTCAGGACCCTAGCCTGCACCTTGATAGTAAGATTTAGCACAGTTGTTCTATTCACTTGCAGGAATATAGAAAGAATAAAATATTAGATGTAAAAATACTTTGAAAGGCATTGAGTTCTCAGTGGGAGGACATTGTTAATGACTATGAATGTTTCATTAATGTGTTCAGCAATTTTCTTTTAAGTTTGTTTTAGGGCTCACCAGTTTGAGGGAGGATCAGTGTACTATTTTGCAGTTACTTGTAAAGAAGAGGCCTTTGTAGACATATATGTTTCTGATGTGTGTTTTTAGAATCAAGAAATGCAGAAATTACTATGAAATTCTGGGAGTTTCTCGAGATGCCAGTGATGAAGAGCTTAAGAAAGCTTACCGAAAACTTGCCCTGAAATTTCACCCTGACAAGAACTGTGCTCCGGGAGCAACAGATGCTTTCAAAGGTCTGGTCCTGAACTAGGGCGTAATTCTGCCCTTCTTGTGATGTTCTCTCATAACAAGTTGTTTTCAGACTCCCCTGTAATTATTTTATAAAGCCACAGCAGAGTTTTTTTTTCCCCTGCCACACCTCTTAAATAGTGATTATCAGAATAGCTTCCTCTTGTCTTCATTCACTTCACCTTAATTTCTTTTGGAAAAAATATTTGGTTTGTTTGTAATACTTTTTGGAACTGTATATCCATTGATTCCACAAATACTTATTGAATATCTGTGTGCCAGATGTCATGGTGAATAAAACAAACATGATTCCTCTTGTGGAACTTATAAGCTAAGTAGGGCCTAGACAGCATTCCTAAACTTCTCTGGCCATGGATCTCTTTGTTCATGAAACCTGTTATTAACATGTTCATATGAAAAATCTGTGTAAACTTTTTTCCATTGATTTCCATGATACTTTAAGAAACATTCTTAAAAATATTTTTGACCCAATACGTAAATAAAAATCTTACTTAAGAGCTTCACCGCCAGTGAAGTCATTGACTCAGGCAAGGATTATCAACGGATGTTAAAACCAATGGGTAATAAGTGGTTGTTGAATAGGATATTCACATGATGTCAAAGTATTACCCCACAGGATACTTACTGATTATAAAAGGGGGAAATTCCTTTATAATGGAGATATCTAGCTGTCACCACTTTAACCAAATAATCCAACTTATCACTAGCACTGGAACAACCTAACATTATGTAGTATAGCACCTATGTGGTATTCTTGCCAAAATGTTTGACCTGAATTTAATATTGAGAAAATAATCAAAATATGAGACATTCTACAAAGAACACTGAGCTACTCTTCAAAAAATTCAATATAATGAAAAGCAAGTAATTTGGAGAGACTGTTCTGGATTAAAAGAAACTAAAGAGATGTAAAACCAAATGCAATACATAAACCTTGCATGGACTTATTGGGTAATAATGTTACTTTCTTAGCTGTGATAATGGCATTGTGATCAGGTAGGAGAATGTTTTTCTTTTTAGGAGACATATGTTGAAATATTAGGGGTAAAGTGTTGTAATGCAGCCTACTTCCCATGGCTCAGCAAAAGAAATGTATATGTAACTAAGGGCCGGTGCACCAAATTCGTGCAATGGGGGCAGGTCCCTCAGCCAGGCCTATGCCCTCTTGCAGTCCAGGAGCCCTTGGGGGATGTCCAAATGATGGCTAAGCCCATGGTCGGACATCCTTAGCGCTGCCATGGAGGCGGGAAAGGCTCCCGCCACCACCGCTGCACTCGCCAGCAGTGAGCCCGGCTTCTGGCTGAGCGGTGCCCCCCCTGTGGGAGCGCACTGACCACCAGGGGGCAGCTCCTGCGTTGAGCTTCTGGCCCCTGGTGGTCAGTGCGTGTCATAGCGACCGGTTGTTCCACCGTTTGGTCTTATTATATAGGATATGTATGTATGTATGTATGTATGTATGTATAGAGAGTTAAGGAAAGCAATGTGGCAAAGTTGATGAATTAAGGTAAAGGATATACATGTGTTTATTGTACTCTTTTTCAACTTATTTATAGATTTGAAATTTTTCAAAAGAAAAATTTAAAAATTAGAGAAATTTTTTTAAGTCACCATTTGCCTCAGATTATGTGCCATTGTGAATCTAGTTCTCCCCACAGTTTCTACAAGGAAACGAATAGGTAACCCACCTTCTCTTTACACCTTCATGTAAGGTATCTCACAGACTAATGCCATTTCTTTGATAAATCTGCCATATTTCAAGGGATGTGAATGTTTAAGCAACTTTATTTAGGTTTTTTTTTCTATTTAGCTGTTTTATTGCTGTAAATATTTAATAATTACTTAGGTAGAAGAATCATAAAGAAATACTCTTTCTGACTGTGTTTTGATAGAGTTGACTGACTCACGGGTAGGGGTGGGGATGTTTTAAAAGATTTTTCTGCTCTAGCCGGTTTGGCTCAGTGAATAGAGTGTCAGCTTGTAGACCAAAGGGTCCAGGTTTGATTCTGGTTAAGGACACGTACCTTGGTTGCTGACTTCTCCCCAGCCTGGGCCCTGGTGGGGCTCATGCAGGAGACAACCAACCGATGTGTCTCTCTTACATCGATGTTTCTCTGTCTTTCCCTCTCCTTCCACTCTCCCTAAAAATCAATGGAAAAATATCCTCGGTTGAGGATTAACAAAAACAAACAAACAAACAAAAAGATTTTTCTGGGGGCATTCTTTAATTAGAGGTATGGATTATATGTTTATGTTAAATGAAATTGGACAAATAGGGAGGAGAGGTGATGATAAGCATATGTAATCTATTCAGTCTTTGATCTCTCACTAATTTCTAAAGGCCATTTTGTAAAGGAAGCTGAATAAGATTGTGATGAGTAAGGATTTTGCTCTTAGCCAAACAATAATTTTACTGGTTATTTCATTCAGGAGATTGTTTCTATACTTCAAGTAGAACACCACTACTTATGTATGAACTATTTCCAGTAATAAACTATAGCTCTCAAATGAAATAAGAACATTTTTGATGAATGAAAACAGTAGTTCTTAGTTCATCTTGAGTGCAGTGTTGTTTTCAAACTAGATCATGGAAAATTTCCAGGGCAAGCACTTTGGTGAACTTTCTAGGCCCAACCACTTCCCTTCCAGTGGTCGGCAAACTCATTAGTCAACAGAGCCAAATATCAACAGTACTTCTTCAAAATAGACTCGCCCAGGCCGAAAACCAACTTCTGCGCATGGGCCACGAAGTTTCAATCGCACTGTACGTGCGCGGCCGAGTGGTATTTTGTAGAAGAGCCACACTCAAGGGGCCAAAGAGCCGCATGTGGCTCGCGAGACGCAATTTGCCGACCACGGTCTTAGGCCCCTGTGAAGTTATCCAGCACCAATCAACTCTGGGCTTTTCACTGCAGCTACTGTGATCACCCTCAGCTACAGCAAAGACTATGTACTCAGGTACTTTTTGTTTTGGTTGCAGCAATAGGAAATGCCTTTGCAGTTCTTAGCAATCCGGACAAGAGACTGCGCTATGATGAATATGGAGATGAACAAGTGACTTTCACTGCCCCTCGAGCCAGATCTTATCATTATTACAGGGACTTTGAAGCTGACATCACTCCAGAAGAGTTATTCAATGTCTTCTTTGGAGGACAATTTCCTACAGGTCAGTATCCCAAAATTATCCTGAAAAAAATTTATATATCAGCAAGCTCCTGTTTGAGGATCTGAATGGAGGGACATGATATGATGAAAACAGCAGGAATTTGGAATCAGGTGAACTGGGATTTGAGTCAAGTCTCTAGCCTCCAACTGTTCATGAGTTTGACCAAATCACTTAGTCTCTCTTATCCTGTTTCATCACCTGAAAAATGGAGTTAGTAATACCTACCTCACAGGGCTGCTGTGAGGATTAGATATTTTTAAGTGCTTTCTAAATAAGTAACAATGTACCATTTGTTCTTGTTATTATTATTGCAAAATAGCAGCTATATAAAGATAAAAGTTAGAAAAGCACCCCCAGAGAGTTGGAAATTGGTTTAAGTAAATGCCCAGGAAGTAAGATGAATTTTATGAGTTGCTATTAAAGATTCTGATATTGGGCAAAGAAGCAAGCATAAGCATGTCAGACAAGACCCATGGCCCAGATGCTCTTTCTTTACTCCCCTTTTGGAGTTCTCTCACTCACTGGTTATAAAGGACTATTTAAATAAAGGCAGGAGAGCTAAGCACATTCCATCTCCAGCTGGTTCACTTGGCTTACCTACTGTCTTATTTTCCTACTGGGTAAAATGGGACAATACTCTAACCACAGAGAACCTAATTGGGAAGAAGGACCTTGGAAAAGGCAAGGAAGAAGTGTTTGCCATATCCCACACTAAGGGTTTTTCTTTCTTTCCAGGAAATATTCATATGTTTTCAAACGTGACAGATGATACCCACTATTACCGCCGGCGGCACCGACATGAGAGGGTGCAGAAACGGAAGGAGGAGGAAGAAGATAAACCTCAGGTATGTCGGGAGGACAGGAGAACTGCTGCTCATAACACTTGTACTAAGCGGCCGTTATGGTATCTAATCGGGTGTTAGAAGTTTAACCTGAGAATATGTTACTGAAATGTGCTTTAGAAAAGCAGAGGCAATGAATGGTAAGAAGAGCTGGGTAATTGACTCAAAGAGGCCAGAATAGTAACTCTCTTACCTACCCGTTCTTTGGTGGCTGGCCCAGGAAACTATTTCCCTTGTGGGGTACTTCAGTCAAGGTTTTCTTGAATGCAGAAGGTACAAATTATCAATTTAAGGTAAGGGATCTAGGGGGGTCTCATGAAGTTCAAGGGCAGGAAGTGCAGCTCTGTCTCATGATAGATGGAAACCAGGCACTGGGGTGCTGTCAGGCACCCACACAACTGTGCTCTCCGTGACTAGTTGGGGCCATATTATCTCCAGTTTTCCCATCTCTTTTCATCTGCTTTGTTCTCTGTGATCAGCCTGGTTTGTCCTACTTCCCTTTGCAAATGGCCAATCCCCAGTGTCTAAGAGTGACTACCTGGCAGTCACTGGTGATAGATCTCAACCCCAAATTCCTATGGGGTGGGGAATGTGATTATCCTTGCTAGGTTAGATGTCCCCAGTCTGTTCAGCTGTGACCGGCAACAAAGTTATATAATACTACCATGACCCCATGAGAGTAACAGTCTGGGCAGACTCACCCAGAAGTGTCTGCTTCATTTGTCTTAGAAAAGGGGAATACAGGAGAATTACTGGGTGTCAATCAGGTTGTGGGTGGGTCTCCTTCAAATTTCTCAGCAGAAAGAACAGAGGTGTTTGGTACTTCTCTGCAAAGTATAGCCTTCCCAAAAAAGCCTTGGGCTTTGGGCAGTGAATTGGTAATTTGTATTTTCTTTGGGAAAAGAATCTTATTTTCTATAAGTTTTATATTGATGAAGAACACTTACACCAAATATATTTTCTTTTTCAGACTACATATTCTGCATTTATTCAGTTACTTCCAGTTCTTGTGATTGTGATTATATCTGTTATTACTCAGCTGCTAGCTACTAATCCCCCATACAGTCTATTCTACAAATCGTAAGTCAAATATTTATGAATCTTAACAACAATCTGAAGGGTAAAAGACTTGAAGGTTTTTCCTGTATGTTACTAACATTTAATTTCACCTTTTGTTGTAAAAACACAGATTTTGTATTTAAAGGAACAGTTGGATAGTAATAGTGCAAAGATTCTCAAAAATACTGTAGGCAGTTTCCAATGTGCAGAGGACATGGATTGTTTTGTTGTACAGCGACATCATCTGGTCAGCTGCAGGACAGCAACAACTGGCTTCTTAAGGACTAATAAAATAACTCCAAGTTCAGATTAAATCCTTATCACACCATGTTAGAAAGGGCCTACTGAGCTTGTTATAGGATTGCTGGACTCCCCCACCCCCTCCCCACCTGGATCTGGGAGCATAGTAACTGAGATCCAGTGATTTTAAATTTCAGAAATTGCAAAAATAGAACATTTATTCATAAGGCTACATAGTCAACCATAGTATCACATTCTTTTGCTGAAAATGTAGAAAATCATTGTAATTTTGTATTTCATGCAGATTATGAGCGCTCATAGGAATATTTTAATTTCTTCCATTAATTATTTCAATTAATTCAATTTTCAAAGTTAGTCCCCTGAGCATAATAAGCATCAAATGGCAACATGTTAGAAATGCATACTCTTGCCCTAGCCTGTTTGGCTCAGTGGATAGAGCATCGGCCTGCAAACTGAAAGGTCCCAGGTTCAATTCCAGTCAAGGGCACATGCCCAGGTTGTGGGCTCAATCCCAAGTGGGGGACTTGCAGGAGGCAGCCGATCCATGATTCTCTCTCATCATGGATGTTTCTGTCTCTCTCTCCCTCTTCCTTCCTCTCTGAAATCAATAAAAATATATTTTAAAAAACATAAATGTATTAGGAATGCATACTCTTAGGTTTCACTCCATATCTATGGAATCAGAAACTCTGAGGATGAGAACCTCAGTGTTGTTTCTTTTAATCCTCACCCAAGGATATTTGGATATTTTTTTCTATTGATTTCTAGAGAGTAGAAAGGAGGGAGGAGGAGGGAAGAGAGAGAGAGAGAGAGAGAGAGAGAGAGAGAGAGATGAGAGAGACACATAGATTAGTTGCCTCCTGCACGAGCCCCTACTGGGGCTGGGGAATCTGCAGTTGAGGTACATGCCCTTGACCAGAAATCAAACTTGCAACCCTTCAGTCCACATGCTGATATTCTAACCACTAAGAAAAACTGGCCAGAGCAATAATCTGAGTTTCAACAAGCCTTCCAGATTATCCTGGTCCATATGAAGGTTCAAGAATCGTTATTTTTAAAAATTAATCATGATAAATTAGTCATTACTTATTATTATAGTTTAGCAGACAAAAACCTTACAAAATGCAGTCCATGAGGCAATACACAACGGGAAGAGTCTTTTTTTTAATATATTTTTTTATCCTCAGCTGATGACATTTTTTTATTGACTTGAGAGAGAGAGAAACATTGATGTGAGAGAGAAACATTGATCAGTTGCCTCCTGTACACACCCTGACCCAGGATCAAACCTGCAACCTAGGTATTTGCCCTGACCAGAAATCTAAGTGGTAACCTTTTGATGTATGGGATGACACTCCAACCAACTGAGCTGCCCAGCCAGGGCAATAGGAGAGTCTTTGTTGATGATCACTATAGACTGAAAACTATCATTTTAAGTCAATATCTTCATTTTACAAAGAAGAAATCTGAGACTCAGAGATAAGTCATTACTATTAGATTACATTGGCCTGATTCCCTCCATTTCCTGACTTGCCATGTTTTCCCACACGCTATTGCTACCTCCTTTCTTGTCAGGTAGTGGGGCAGTCAGAAACCTGCTAACAGCTCCCCAAAGGGAAGTGAGAGAAGTCATGACCTGAGCTCTTAGACATTCGGCAAGATCCTTAAGTAGAGAGAACAAAGGAGAAGGCTGGGGAAAAGTCAACTATAACTCATTTGAGATAGAATTTGTCCAGTTTGAATAAAATCAACTTGCATTTTGCACATTGCTGTCACATTGTTTTCATTGGAATTTGAGTTCCCTTCTATACTTCTTTATGGTTAGAATTTAGTTAACCCAGACCTGTCAATGTTTCTAAGCACCAAATACCATTGGATATCTTAGACCACAGAGAGTTAGCCCAGAAGCATCATTAAAATTTTTTTCTTAGTTTTTTGCAGTTCTCACTTAGCAGCTATGTGTGTACATTTTATTTTGTCCTAAAGATTGATGCTAGGTGGTTGTAATCTATCTGGTTATTTATAAACTAGAGGTCCAGTGCACAAATTCATGCACCAGTGGGATCCCTCAGCCTAGCCTGCGGGATTGGGCCAAAACTGGCTCTCCAACATTCCCCGAGGGGTCCCGGATTGTGAGAAGGCGCAGGCCAGGCTGAGGGACCCCCACCGGTGCATGATCAGAGCCGGAGAAGGATGCGGGAGGGCTCCAGGGCATGTCTGGCCTGTCTTGCTCAGCCCCCAGCAGCAAGCTAACCTACTGGTAGGAGCGTCTACCCCAGCTGGTCAACTGGTCGACTGTCTGCCCCTTGGTGGTCAGTGCACATCATAGCGAGCAGTTGAGTGGCCTCAGCATATCATTAGCATATTATGCTTTGATTGGTTGAATGGATGACTGGACACTTAGCATATTAGGCTTTTATTATATAGGATAGTGTACTGTAACAATCAGTTTATTCAACCAACATTTACCAATAGCCTACTCTGTGCCAGGTACCATGCTAGGTCCTACACAATATCCAAATTGTTTTTTAAGCATTAGCATTCTACTTTTAGCATAGAACGCAATATAAGAGAGGTGGCTTCTTTAAGAGAATAAAGTAACTATGCTGAGGTGAATCCACAGCGTGAACATGCTCATAGAGTAGCAATAATGACACCATTACAGTTACTACTTTGCTAGGGAAGTTACAAATGTTAGGTGCATTAGACAATGACACCTACGTCTGCCCTATGAAGAGGTAATTGTGACCATGATATCTGTGAGGCCAGTGATGAGTAATATTGCCAAATATAACAAGTTTACCTGAGCCTCTCTCTCTCCATATTTCAGGACCATGGGCTATACCATTTCTAGAGAAACCCAGAACCTGCAGGTGCCTTACTTTGTGGATAAAAACTTTGACAAGGTCTACAGGGGAGCATCTCTGCGTGAGCTGGAGAAGACAATAGAGAAGGATTACATTGATTACATCCAGACGAGTTGTTGGAAGGAGAAACAACAAAGTAAGATACTCTAAAAGGGGCTTTAGCTGGTGCTTCCAACTTAAGGCATCCCCAGGTTCCTGGTCCCTCCTCTCCTTGTTTGGGTCGCACATACTTATACCGTATGAACAGAAAGAGGACAGAGGCCCATTCAGGATACTATTAAAAAAAGGGACACATGTAGCCAGGACTTGGAAATCTTAGTTGCCTTTTTGTTTTTCTGTCTCTGAGTCTCTATCTCTCTCTGCCCACCTGCCCATTCTCCTCTCTCTGCCAACTGCCCTCTTTTGCTTCCTCGAGCTCTCCTCCTTCATAACCTTATCTTGCCATGGTCAGTCTTCCAACTTCTCTAGCCCCCCCAGTCATTGGCCCCTTTCTACATCATAAGCTTCCTCTGGAAGTTCTCTTTGCTACCTAGTTTGGTCCAATTTCCTAATTCCACATTCCCTAGAGGGAAATCTGTCTGATCCAGCCTAACTTTATTTTTCTTTCTAAAGAATAGTTTATTGATTTTTCGAGAGAGAGGAAGGGAGAGGGAAAGGGAGGGTGATAGAGAGAGAAACATCTATGTGAGAATGCAACATCCATTGGCTGTCTCCTGCACGCCCCCTACCAGAGATAGAGCCCACAACCCAGGCATGTGCCCTTGAACCTGAAACCTCCTGGTGCCTGGGACAATGCCCAACAACTTCGGCCAGGTCCAGCCTACTTTTTGAGCCAAACCAAAGGTTTGCAGGCTGTTGGTATTGAGTCACATGCCCCCTCCCTTCCCCTCCTGTCAGCTTAGGCTACACAGAACAAAAGGGGCCCTCCCTGGGTCTGCCCCTTCACTATGGGTGAGTCTGAGAAGGCCTTCTACTCTGTTTCCCTCTCTGAAGACAGTTTGGGTAACAGAGTTTGCCACTTGGCTTTCAATTCCAGTGAGTATTAATCGGGAGTGCTGATAGCAAGACTAGCTCTGTCTCTCAGCCAGCATGTTCACTTTTCATCCCACTTGAATTCCACATACACACAAACTCACACACACATGCACATGTACACATATAACATTAGTAACTATTTATTATAAAACTTGGCTTTGGTTAATTTTTTAAAAGCAAGCTCTACCTCATTTTTTAAAAACTTATACTGGGTATTATTAAACATCTAAAAGTGTCTGATAAAATTAGCTCTTCAGTCATAGTGCTGCTAAGCCCTTGCTGACCCATCATGCATCCCAGCCCCACCCCCAAGTTAATCTCTCCTTCCTGTGTGTTCTTAAAGCACTCTGCTCGTCCTATTAGCAGAGTACTGCTCTCATAGTGTTAGTGTTCCGTAGGTACAGGTCAGTCTCCGTGCTGGACTATGGGCTCTCTGAGGACAAGAACCATGTCTTACTAATTTTGTGTCTCAGGCACCTGGCCCTTGTTTCAGAACAGGTGCTCAACAAGTGTCTTTTGAAGAGAAGATTCTCAGAACTGGAAAACAAAGAAAATGCTGAGGCTTAGGAATCACAGAACAGGGTTAGTGTCCTAACCCTAGCCCTTAGGGACCTTGTCTCTGCCCCCGACAAGCAACTCAACTCTCAGGTACATTAGGAGCATGGTAGGCAATGGCTCTGGGGTGCAAGGGGGAAGTAAGCAGGAGGAGGAAGTTGTTTTTTTATTGAAAAGTCTGAGGGTTCAGAAAGTACCCGACCTCATGTTAAACTAGGTTTTGCAAGTTTTTAAAAATCAGAAAAGAAATTGGAGCAAGATAAAGGCCTTAGACCAGCGGTTCTCAACCTGTGGGTCGCGACCCCTTTGGGGGTCGAACGACCCTTTCACAGGGGTCACCTAAATACATCCTGCATATCAGATATTTACTTTACGATTCATAACAGTAGCAAAATTACAGTTATGAAGTAGCAACGAAAATAATGTTATGGTTGGGGGTCACCACAACATGAGGAACTGTATTAAAGGGTCGCGGCATTAGGAAGGTTGAGAACCACTGCCTTAGACTAAAAGGCCATATATTTGTGGATCCAAATCACAGAAAGGCCATAGTGTGTGTCCTGAAAGTTCCCCATTGTTTTGGGCCCTGGGAGGGTTTGGAATTTGTTGCTTTCTACAAGAACTAGATGCAAATCTGCATTTCACATTGTTCAGACACACACCTACCCACACACATACCCCAACGGAAACTATGCAAAGAGCTTATAATAAGGATTGCACCTATAATAAGGTGGCCTCTAGGCTTTTGTCCTCATCCCCATGAGGCCTAGTTTCGGGGCTTTTGCAGTCTCCAGATATAAATAAAAATCCAGTGAGTAAACATGATGCATGTACCCACAAGTTCTAAATGGGGTTATCAGCACACATCCCTTAAAAATCTATTTCTGGTATTTAAGGATGGTGATGGTTGTCCGCAGCCTCCACACAACCCAAGTGCCATTTGAGAACCAGCAGCATCTGCCCTCCGGTTCCAGCAGCAAGTGCAGCCAACAAGGTTAAATTTAGCACTTGGAGGTTGTAAAAATAAACCCACTTGAGAACAAAGTTCACTCTTGGCAAAATACTGAGTGGAAACTGTTTTTAGCAAAGTTAGCCATTATCTTTTTAAATCTTTTGTTCATGTCTTTTCTCTGCTCTCCCTGAGAATGCTTAATCTGAATGAACTTCTGAGTAATCCTTTAATATGAATACAATTGCTGTTTTCTCCTTCACAGCTGCATCTAGATAATAAACCTGATGCCAGGGGAAGTGGCCATGCCACTGGCCTGGGATGGACAAAAGTGATAGGCAGGAACTGCCTGAACTGATCTGAGATCCTCTCCAGGCCCTGGAGAGGGTAGCAGAGTGGGTAGAAGCTTAGGCTTTGAAATGGGGATAAATGAACTTCTTCCTAGAGAGTGTCTATGGATAATAGAAGATGATATGCATAACGCTTACCATGGTGGTGGACCCAGGCCTTGCTTGGCCTTGCTAGACTGGATGCAGCACTGTCTCATGGGGCCTGCTCATAAGTGTGGCTGGGATCTTCCAACTGTCAAGATTCTGATCTGAGCTTTTGGGCAGAGTACTCCTGGGAGAGGTTCTGGGACTTGCTTCTCTTGGCAATTTGCCTGAGTCAGTTTACCTTCAAGACTCAAAGCTCTGTCCATCAATTACACTGGCATTGAGGGCAAGGGAAATATTTTGCAAAGAATAAGAGATGTTCTCTTAATCCTGTCCCTCCCAAAGATTTTTTTTTCTCTTAGAAGTTATTGAATATTAACAGAACTTGTAAAAAGTAACATATTATTTGAGTTGACCTTTTGCTCATTGAAGAGCAAAGGATTCACTGACAGTTTGGAGAGAAGTTTCTCTAAGCATGGTGGTAGAGGTGTGGGACATGGTTCCTTAAAACACTGACTTGTGCAAGGTCATTGCTCTGGAGCAGGGGTCTCAAGCTCTAGAGCAGTGATGGCGAACCTATGACAAGCGTGTCAGAGGTGACATGCGAACTCATTTTTTTGGTTGATTTTTCTTTGTTAAATGGCATTTAAATATATAAAATAAATATCAAAAATATAAATCTTTGTTTTACTATGGTTGCAAATATCAAAAAATTTCTATATGTGACATGGCACCAGAGTTAAGTTAGGGTTTTTCAAAATGCTGACACGCGGAGCTCAAAAGGTTCGCCATCACTGCTCTAGAAGCATTGAAACCCAGTTTCAATGAACTTTACAAGAAGTAATGTGGCTTTTTGAGAAAGGCATTCATATATGTGCAGTTATCTTTCACCAGCTTGCTACCGTGGTCTTCAATGTAGAAAATAGTAAGAATCACTAGCCTTAACATTTTCTGGAGTGATATTTCAGGAATGAGGCATTTAGATAAGCTTGGTAAGCAAAAAATCTAAGGAAATAAAAAAAATGAAAGGATGAGAAGAAGAAAAAAACACCCTACGAAAATCATTTAAAGGAAGAGCAAAGCCACAGAATCTGTTCCGTACACTGATGTAACTGTGATTCCAGAGAACCAAAGGGAAAGACTGACTTTATAGAGGCCTCCTAAACAGCTTTCCCACGTGCCAAAGGAGCCAGAGAAATGGAGTTAATGCTGCACTCTGGGCAGGACCTAAGAGCAGAGGGCTTTCACTTGGGTGCAGCACATGATCCTCCATGAAGCCCCATCACCTGCAACGACGACGGTGCCAAGGCAAGCTCTGGCCAGCAGGCACTGCAGGCACTCGCACCAAGGGAAGAGAGCACATTGTTCTGAAGCCTAGGAGACCCGCTGTTTGCCAAGCAACTGCTGGGCTAGGGCCCAGACTCTGAGCCCTCATTGTAGAGGAAGGGTTTTCATGCATATCCACCCCTCACCCTGGAGTCCTGCACTTAATCTGCACTCTGGGCCTTACTTGGTGTAAATAGAATCATTGTGAGCAGAAATGCCAGACAGTGTTTTGTGTTGATAGAAGCTTATTCAGAAACCAATGCCCATTGTTCCCCCTGTCTAAGTATTAATTCCTGTGTCCCAGGCAGCTCGCTGATTAATGACAGGTGCCTCTGGTTCCACCAAGAAAAACAAAACCTGTCGGCAAGATGATTAAGAATGGATAGCACATCTCCAAATGATTAAAATAGCATTTTCACAAGTACAGTCATTGAAACATTGAGTAGCTGCCTACTGTTGGAGGCTTTCAGAAGCCACACAGCCCATCCAAGCGTGCCATCCTGTTAATACACGTCTCTGGAGGTGCTTGTCAGGCCTTCCCTCCTAATATTGTCTCTGAAACTTTACAAAAGAATAAAAAGTAGAGGCAGCCAACCATGTTGAGTTGGGGAAAACAGCAGAGATTATATTCTGGTTAAAAATAGAATGACCTTCTCCCACCATTAAGAGAAAATGAAATTCCTTTAGTCAAGGAGACAAAGGTCACCGGATCCAGATGATTTCACTTTTAAAAGGGCCCAGCTGCCTCTGGCCTTTGAATCAGGGGCTCCACATGTGGTGAGGGAATGAAGAAATCCACCAGCAACCTGGCCTTCTATAGAAGGCTTACCCACCAGAAGTAGGCTGCCTCAGTTAGTGTGTATGAATTATGATCCAGCAAGCAAGGGAAAGAATGAAGCAGCTGTCTTTGTTTCAGATGACAGGAACAGGCGATTGGACTCCATTCTCTCCCAACTGCCATCTGAATACCACTTGTAGAAAGACCGTGAAACAGTCTCCTCTTACTGCACACGTACAGGCTTCCCAACTCTGGTGCCAAATGTTCTATTGATAAGAACTAAGTCTGGTGCTTTTATGACGGAGCACAGATACTGTCGCACTCCAGGACCACAGGTGTCCTTTAATCCTTAGCACCTGGTGTAGTATAGTTGCCTGGTACTCTGTTTCTTGAATAAATGCCTGTTTCTTAAATATACAGTGGGGCCTTGACTTACGAGTTTAATTCGTTCCGTGACGGAGCTTGTAACTCAAATTACTCGTATGTCAAATCAATTGTGAACGAGTGAGACACGTGATGCTGGGCTGATGTTGTGGCGTTCACTGTGGCGTTCGCTGCGCCAACTAGCGGTGGGGTATCTGAAGCTGGCTCGTAACCCGAATTTTAGCTCACAACTCAAAGCAAAAAATCGGCCGAGAGACGGCTCATATCTCGAAAAACTCGTTAGTCGGGACACTCGTAAGTCAAGGCCCCACTGTAATTGAAAGAGAAAGTATTAAATAAAGTAAAAGAAGCTTTGATTCCAGAAATACTGAAATGAAGCAAAGGACCTCAAGTCCTTTGATGAATTGGTTTCTCTTTTATCTTTCAGAGTCCGAGCTGACCAATTTGGCAGGATTATACAGAGATGAACGATTGAAAGAGAAAGCAGAGTCGCTGAAACTTGAAAACTGTGAAAAACTTTCCAAACTCATTGGCCTACGCAGAGGTGGCTGAGAGGATGATAGTCCTACGCAGGGTCGGGGTTTTGCTACTTGTTACTATTTATGTTCCTAATTCCATTTTATAATACAAAACTAGGAAATGATGAACATTTTACAATTTGCTAACTTTATTTGGTGGGCTGAGTTGAAGGCGCTTGAGCATGGAGCCAGACTTGTCATCACAGAATCCCTTCCTGGGGATTGGCTCCAGGGGCCAGGAACAGCTCATCTAAGTTGAATTAATGACAAAGTGTTGGATTCAGCCCCCCTGCTCCACACCTGCCCTGCCTCTAGGAATGCAAGTCAGGGCATCCCAGAGCAGATTCATGTTTTCTTCTTTTTTCTCTTCTTCGCTAACCACTCATTCCTAGGCAGAGCCAAAGCAGCTTAATATTAGTTGTTTGCAAAGTGCACCAAGAATTAGATATCTCCCTTCATGAGAGTCTCCCCCAGGATTCAGCCTTTGGAACATACTCCTTCTCATATTTCCACTTTCTAAGGAGAATGTGGAGAAATGTAAACTATTGTAGTCAATAGTTTCCTATTTGCCCAATCTCTATTCAGAGTTACTAGCAAAATGCCTGATCTGAGTTTTTTACTTCCTTAATTGTCTCTCTTGCAGAGGGACCAGAAATTAAAAGCTATTGAGTGAAACAGCTCAATGGAAGCAGGGGCCAGGGATGAAGGTAAAATGTAACCTTAGTCTCAGTTTCTCACTGAAAGTTCCCTAGTCCATCATAGAACCCAGAGAATGTTCTTTTTGCCATTTCCCCTTGTAGCATCACAGGAACTGAGTCCCTACACCCCAGAGGTGTAGTGATCAGACTAAGAGGAAGCACTGCCAGCTAGCTGGGCTATTTGCTCAAGCCTAGAGATAGAGGGGAGAGACCTTTCCATGGCTCTGGGGATCTGGTGTTGGCTCCAGCGGTCACTTTGTCTAATCCTATAGTTTGTGATATGAGAGGCTTTTTCATGTAGTCAACGTTGACTGAGTGCCTGGGATGAAGCAAGGGCTCTCAATGCATTTTCCTACTTTAGCCTCCTCACAGCTCTGTGAAGTGGACATGTTATCCCTGTTTTTATGAATGAGAATATTGACCCGGAGAGGATGAAAGGTTAACCTGAGTCACATAAGTGGTAATGGCAGAGCTAGACGGAGGTCTGATTATCAAGTAGAAAGGGTGAGATCATCCCCATTTCTCAGGTCATTCTAGCCAGATTGGTAAAGCTGAATCTTTCCCAAAGATGCCCCTGCCCCCTCCCCTCTGACCCCGTATCCTTTCTGTGGCAGCCCATCATCCATTCAGGACATCTTTCCCCCTGGTCTTTGGGAACCAAGACTCCATACCAACTTTGTATACAAAACAAAAGGTCCCTCAGAGGCAGGCAGCCCTTTCCACAGGTGACAAGGAAGGAGTAAGTTGCTTCCTGGGCTTGTAGTTCCAGACTTCCTGCTGAGCCAAGCTACCTGAGCTGCCTAGATTATTGGGAATCTGAACCTGGAAGAATCAGTAAGTGACTGTGGTCTACACTCATATTTTCTCCAGGATGGAAGAAAAATTCCTGTTGGAAGGAGATTCTGCATGAAAACTGATTTCCAGAGTGGAGTTTCTCCTTTCAGATGCTCGGTCATGATTCAGACAGATGTGTCTGGCACGGTTCAACATGTGGACATTCCACAGGGTCAGGAGATGCCTCCAGAGGTAAAGGGTGGGGCTTTAGTGGCTGGTAGAGGACAACTGCTCAGCTGTGGGGAGGAGGAGCAGCTCCAGATATAGCCAGATTTTGCTGCCCAACTATGTCTATCCTCCTGGATTTGGAAGGCTTTCTTGTCTCCCTCTGAGTGACAGAGGGGATTTACACAGTAAAATGTGCCTGTGAGCCTAACAGGCTTATAGAACATTTTCCTTTGCACACCAAAATCAATGCTCTCCTCTCAGCCCCAACCCCTGCTAGAAAATGGGCCATAAATTAAACTGACTTGACAGGTTAGAAGAACCTACTGTAGATGCCCCTGAAGAGTGTGGCCACACGTTTTATAGATTTCATGGCAGATATTAGTTATCTGTGATGATACTAAATAGAGGCAATACTAACTCCAATAAATGTGTGCACACCAAAATCAATGCTCTCCTCTCAGCCCCAACCCCTGCTAGAAAATGGGCCATAAATTAAACTGACTTGACAGGTTAGAAGAACCTACTGTAGATGCCCCTGAAGAGTGTGGCCACACGTTTTATAGATTTCATGGCAGATATTAGTTATCTGTGATGATACTAAATAGAGGCAATACTAACTCCAATAAATGTCAGACCTATTGTCTGTCTTTATAGAACTGATGGTACTATTTAATTTATTACCTAGTAAACCACAACACTCACATCTGGTTTTCCTCAAGAGAATATTTGCATTTGGTTGAAGGATAGTTTATCTATTTGGTACAGTCCAGAATATTGTTAAACTAAAATTTCCTGGGTTATACTTTAGGTGGGTTGTCTACATGGTGGTAATCATAAGGATTTTCCTCTAGCCTACATCCTTTGGAAGGTTTCCTAGTCATATATAAGCTCTTTAGGTAAGGCTTATTCTTGCTGTCAGAACTTGGTGTGCAGCGCTAGACCATGTCTATGAGCATTAGAACAGCTTGAAGATGTGTAATGGGAGAAGGGCTAAGAAATAAGGCTTGAGGCTCAAGCAAAAATGGAAACTCTCATCATTAGGATGATAGTGCTCTTTGCACTGCATGATCAGCAGTGAGGAGGGGAGCATGAAAATCCTCACACCAAAGGACACTACAGCTTGAAGGAATCCATGACCCCTGATTAGCAACCCTGGGGTTCATCTGCTCAAACCAGAAAATGTCTGAACGTCCTTATCAGCTCCAGGCCTCACAGATTGGAAGAAGTGACCAGTAAAAAATGCAATTGCTATGCTTTCTGTTGGAAACTATTAAAAATTACACTGAACTCCAAACCCCACTGGAACATGAGATCCAGCAGCCTGGCCAAGCTATGTGTTATTCTCATTTCATCCTCACACTCAGGACAGGCTTTGTGAGGAGGCACTATTGGGATTCTAGAAGCTTTCTGTTACAACTGGCCACACATGCAAGTAGTCTCTGCATGCATGATCCTCACAGGAGCTAGCACTTAATCAGTATTTATTTTGGATTCATTTAAGGTGTAAGCTTAGTATCCTAATACACTTGTTTTTGGAAAGGGCCAAGTTATTGTACATCTTAATTTTTGAGCCTGCATCGTTGATACCTCGTGCAATGACCACCAAGTAACTATATACCCATGTGTTAGATATTAATTACATCATTTGCATCCCATTCAGTATTTGGAATTAAAGATGTGAATGTTCTGTGACCAGAGCCAGGTTTGATACAGATGGAATCAGCTCCGGTGGAGTCCTGAGAAATCTGGTCACCTGACCTACTGCATCTGAATTAATTGTATTTTAACACAGAAAGAAATTAAATGATTTTATATATAAAAAAGGCTTTGTTTTTCCTTTGTTGTTTTTTAAGTTTTTAAATATATTTTTTATTAATTTCAGAGAGAAAGGGAAAGGAAGAGAGAGATAGAAACATCAATGATGAGAGAGAATCATTGATTGGTTGCCTCCTGAACGTCCCCTACTGGGGATCGAGCCTGCAACCCGGGCATACGCCATTGACCGGAATCGAACATGGGACCCTTCAGTCCGCAAGCTGATGCTCTATCCACTGAGCCAAACTGGCTAGGGCGAAGGAGATCTTTTCAAAGCATAAATTATGTCACCCTCTTGTTTAAAATATTTCAGTAGTTTTCTTTTGCCCCCAGAATAAAAATTACCAAAGTCCTTAGCATGACCTAATGCTTAATAAGATTCTACCAAGTTTCTGACCTCTATCCCTGCTTGCCCTATACATCTTTTTCTTTTTCTGCCATATGAGCCTTTTAATTATACCACTCTGCCAACCCCTTTGGCTCTAGGAACTTTGTGTATTCTGTTCCCTCTTTCTGGAACCCTTTCCCACTCCCCTGATTCTCCCCTCTTTGCTAAGTGCCACCTGGTTATCTTACTAGGTTTCAGCTCAAAAATCACTTCCTCACAGAAGCTTTCCCTGTACCCCAGATTGGGCTAAATCTTTAAAAATATTCTCATTCCTCTCTTTCTCAGCACCTGTCATAACTCTGGTGCTATTTATTTGAATAATGACTTACTTTGAGATTTGAGTGTTTATTATTGTCCATGTCATAACTCTGGTGCTATTTATTTGAATAATGACTTTGAGATTTGAGTGTTTATTATTGTCCGTCTCCCCCACTAGACTAAGTTTCAGTCTAATTTTATCTGAGCTGAACCCTGACCAGAATGACACACCATCTGTTAGGACTTCCTCTGAAAGTGCAGCCCAAGTTAAAACTCCTCCCATCAAAAGGTGGGATGTGTCCCCTCTCCTTGAAGCTGGACTCTGTGGCTTATTTACCAAAAGAATGCAGCAGAAAGGACACGATGCTGCTTTGGGGGGGGGCCAGGACTTAAGAAACTGGCATCTTCCATTTCCTGCCACTTTGGATACTTTCTCTTGAACCCAGTCAACATGCTAGGAGCCCAAGCAGCCAATGGAGAGGAACAAGACCCCCTGCCTCAGATGAGCCCCCAACTGACAGCACCAATTTGCCAATTATGTGAGGGAGCCGTGAATCATGGTGGTGGAACTTCTAGCCTCCCTCTCTCTCCCAACAGCTGATACTACATGGAGCAGAGATGAGCTTTCACTATCGAACTCTGCCCAAATTGACGATTCCTGAGCAAATTAAATTTTTTAAGGTATAAATGTAGGGTGGTGTGTTATACAGCAATAGATAACCAGGAAATCAACCAGGATGACGACACTATGCAGAAAGCCACCCTTCCTGGGGCAGGATCACAGAGCTGTTTGTGGTGTCATGTCATCCTGAGCCCCACTGAGCCCTGGTTGGCCAGGAGCTCATAGTGTTTGGTGACATAGAGAGTGGGAGTCTGTGGCAGTCCCCAGCCAAGTTGACTATCCCGCAGTCTATGCTGGTGTGCAGGGTGCAGACCTGGATCCAGTGTTGTCTCTTGCTCAGGGAACTGGCTGCTGGAGCCTACTGTGCTCCCGGATTTTGGCCTAAGTGTACAAGGCACTCTGTTCCAGCTGGTTGAGGTAAATGGTGAGTGGCAAGAGATATCAAGCAGCACCTCATGAAAAACCCTACAGAAGGGACACAGTTCAAAGGGAAGATTCAGGGATCCCTGCCCCAGAGGAATGTGCAGCTTTGTTCAGGGTGATTCAGGTGAACATTCACATTTGATAAATAAAGTTACAAGAAGGCTCTGTGCTGAGGCACACAACCTATATATACAGCATCCTCTAGGCCAGTGGTTCTCAACCTTCTGGCCCTTTAAATACAGTTCCTCATGTTGTGACCCAACCATAAAATTATTTTCGTTGCTACTTCATAACTGTAATGTTGCTACTGTTATAACCGTAATGTAAATATCTGATATGCAGGATGGTCTTAGGCGACCCCTGTGAAAGGGTCGTTCGACCGCCAAAGGGGTCGCGACCCACAGGTTGAGAACCGCTTCTCTAGGCCCACGCTGTTCAATACAGTAGCTACCAGCCATATAAGGCTATTTAAATGTAAATTTCACTAATTAATTTTTTTTTAATTTAAAAAGTAATTCCTCAGACACATTAGCCATATTTCAAGGGTTGAATAGCCCACATGTGGCCTGCGGCTGCAGTACTGGACAGTGCAGATGAACATTTCCATCATAGAAGTCCTATTGAACTGTACTGCTCTGGGCCCTTTTCAGATTGGCCCACAGAAATAGCCTTGCCCTCAAGGATATGAGAACAGACATGAAAAAGAAGGAAAGGACCCTTTCCCCAGCTGCCAATAAGGTGCTCGGTTCTTCCGAGGAAGCTAAGGCCGCCTTGCGGTGAGGCCCTCACTTCATCGGGGGACTAGCACCGCTCCCGGAAGCACTTGCCCAGCACTCATCCTCACCATGGCCTCTGTCTCGGAGCTCGCCTGCATCTACTCGGCCCTGATCCTGCACGACGATGAAGTGGAAGTGTCGGTGACGGAGGATAAGATCAGTGCCCTCATTAAAGCAGCTGGTGTAAATGTTGAGCCTTTCTGGCCAGGCTTATTTGCAAAGGCTCTGGCCAATGTCAACATTGGGAGTCTCATCTGCAATGTAGGGGCTGGGGGACCTGCCCCTGCAGCTAGTGCTGCACCAGCAGGAGGTCCTGCCCCCTCCACCGCTGCTGCCCCAGCTGAGGAGAAGAAAGTGGAAGCAAAGAAAGAAGAATCTGAGGAGTCTGATGATGACATGGGCTTTGGTCTTTTTGACTAAACTGGCTCTTTTGTAACAGACCATAAAAGCTGACCTCTGTTAAAAAAAAAAAAAAAAGAAAAAGAAAAAGAAGGAAAGGTAAAACAGGGTATCACATCCTGGCCGGGTAGCTCAGTTGGTTAGAGCATCCTTCCAATACACAAAGGTTGGGGGTTTGATTCCCAGTCAGGGAACATACAAGAGTCAACCAATGAATGCATAAACAAGTGGAACAACAAATTGATGTTTCTCTCTCTCTCTTCCTCTCTCCAATCAATCAATAATTTTATTTTTATAAAGGGCTATCACTGGGAGACCCATAGGAATGACAAGTTTATCAGGCCACAATAGCTGAAAAAGAGGCCCCTAGGTAGTTCTGGGGAGCAACCAGAGTGGCTTACCTAACTTTCAGCTTCCCTTCTTGGACACTGATAACATTTCTTGCAAACTCCTTTTTTGTTGTGAACCCTCACCCAAGGATAATTTTTCCATTGAGTTTTAGAAAGAGTGGAAGGTAAGAAGGGGCAGGGAGAGAGAGAGGAACATCAATGTGACAGAGACAGACCACTTGGTTGCCTCCTGCACGGCCCCCACCAGGCTGGGAATCCCGCAACCCTTCAGTGGGAGGGTCGATGCTCCAACCACTAAGCAACAGCAGCCAGGGCTGCAAACTCCTTGATATAGTCATTCATGCTTCCACAACTTTAGTATCTATTATGTTCAACAAACATGAATTCTAGAATCAAACTGCCCACAAGAAAACCTTGTACTGAGGCTTAGCAGCTTGGGTGACCTTGGGCAAGTTATTCACTCTCAGGGAACCTGCATTTCCTCATCTGTAAAGTGTGGAAATTAGAACCTACTTCCCAAGGTTATTGTGACGATCACGTGAAATAACACTAATATGGCATAACTGTGCCACGAAATAGTGACTACTCGATGAACATTAGCTCTGATATTCCCCAAGCTTAATCTTACTGGATTTCAAAAAAAAGAGGCGGGGGTTGGTGAAGATGTGTGATCACCTTGTCCTTCCCCACCCCTGTTTTAAACTTTTTTAAAAAAATATATTTTATTGCTATCCTACAGAGAGGAAGGGAGAGGGATAGAGAGTTAGAAGCATCAATGAGAGAGAAACATCCGATCAGCTGCCTCCTGCACACCCCCTACTGGGGATGTGCCCGCAACCAAGGTACATGCCCTTGACCGGAATCGAACCTGGGACCCTTCAGTCCGCAGGCCGAACCGGTTAGGGCTCTACCCCTGTTTTAGAAGTCTCCTTCAGGCCCACTTCAGTTCTAACCTCCTCGGGCTCTTCAGTGCCCTCAGCAGCACCTGGATGTGGTCGCACTTGGCTCCAAGCATGACTGCTCAGAGCGTGGTACCAGACTATGCGGACTTACCTTGGGTGTGTTTCCACCATGAGGCTGGCTCACGTACACAGTTCTTTGCTCTGGTATCTTCTTCCCTCCTCCCTACATTCTGTTTGCCCTGGGGAAATGCAGTAACCGCTCCCATTAAAAGTTGACTTGCTGCAGATGGGTCACAGAGGCCCCCTTCCTACAGGTGAGACCACTCCCCTTTTCTTGAGCCCCACTTTCATTGCTTAGGTTCAGGCCCCCTAAATAGTGACTATGCTGTAGGAGAAAGAGAGATCAGAGGAGGCTGGAGTCTCACACTCTCCGGTAAATTTCGAGATTAGGGTGGGAGAAGAGGCGCGTGAAGCTAAAGATGCAGGTGTTGCCTTAATGGGCTCTTGCTTCGCGGTCTTGCAGTTTAACAGGCCCTGGGAGAAGGCTGAGGGCGGGTGTTGCCTGGTCACTGGCTAATAAAGGAAATAGAAGCCTGCTCCTCAAGATTGCATGAGAAACACAAGATAAAATAGATGTGCAAATCCATAAACTTACATTCCTAAGTGTTGCTAAATTCCCCGGCGGCTCCTTTAAGAGGCGGGTCCCCTCCCTGGTAACAAAGGAAGTCCCCGCCCCCGGTAGCCGGGGTGCTCTGTGGCGTCGCACCCTCATTGGTGGGCGACGTGGTGTGCCACCCAGCGGCAGCCATTTCCAACGAGCTGGCGGGGGCAAAGGATGGCGACGCCCGAAGGGTGGGCGCAGGGGGGGTCGGGGTCGGTGTGTCTCGCCTTCGACCAACTGCGGGACGTGATTGAGTCTCAGGAGGAACTGATCCATCAGCTGAGGAACGTGGTACGCAGCCAGGAGAGCAGGGGGAGCGGCGGACCGGACGTCTAAATGGTGGGGTCGGGGCCAGACCGCGTCCGGAGCCGGGGCGTGCCCAGAGCACATTGCCAATGGCGTCATCAGAAGGAGGCGGGACCCCAAAGTGGCTGCTGGGGGTGGAGCCAAAGGGGGCAGGGTCTCATGGACATTTCACAAGGGAATTCTAATCCAAATCAAAATTGTTTTCTACTCTCTTTGCCTGGTTGCATAGGACCTGGTAGATAGATCCCTTTCTATTCACTGAGCCTCAGTTTCCCCATTTCTAGTTCTTTTGTGTTGAGGCAAAGAAATTGTAATATTCTTTCTACTAGGGACATCCTCTCCCCAGCGTCTAATTTAGTGCCAATCTACGTGCAGTAAGCACAGATGTGGCCCTTGCACACGATAACGTAAGGGCTTCCGACTCCTTTATGTCTCTCTGCTTTTGCTTTCTCAATCAAACCACAGTTTATGGGCGCAAAGCATTGGAGCCACAGGTGATCTGGACAGGCATGGTAAAATCCTGGCCAGGTGGAGTTCATGGCTTTTCTCTTTTCATTTTCTACCTTGATGGGAAGGCCGGGAGATAGGAGATACCTCCCGCTCAGAAATAAGATGACTTCTCATCTCTTTCTCATTCCAATGGCAGTATGCGGCCCTAGGCATTGAATTCCCTTCAGTTCCCAGAAGCCTCCATTCCTGTCCTTTTTCTCAACACTTTTTCATCCCTACATAGTGGTCAGAGCTCAGGTCTGTTCTGATGTCCTCTTCTCTAGAAGCAGTTCTACCCTTTCCCAGGCCGGGTCAGGGACCTCCTCTGGACGCCACTTGGTGCTTCTCCATCACAGCACACACTGTGTTACAAGTGCTGGCCATGGGCTATCTCTCCTATGAGACTGGTTGCTCCTTGAGGGCAGGGCCTAGAGATGAGCCTCAGCGACTTGTGGGACCGAATTCTCCTTTCTCAGGGCCCTAGTCTCATCCTAGATGCCCTGGGCATCATCCCATTATCCACCCTTGCTCCTGGTCCCTGAGCCCCAGTCCCTCCCTGAGCCAGGCTCTATTGCAGATGGTTCTCCAGGACGAAAATTTTGTCAGTAAAGAAGAGTTCCAGGCAGTGGAGAAGCAGTTGGTGGTAAGTAATGGCCTCTGCAGGTTCCTAATCTTGCCCTATTTCCCAGAATCCCTGTGGTTGAGCAGTCACTGAGTATTGGACTCTGAGAGCCTTCAGCCCCAATAATGAGGACAGACTCTTCCTGTACTCTGGCTTCTGTGTGGCCCTCTGAGTAAGGGGGCTGGTTAAGGGAGCTTAGGAGACCCAAGGTCGCTTAGGTAATAAGGTCACTGGTGTTGCCCCGGCAGGAAGAGAAAGCTGCTCATGCCAAGACCAAGGTCCTCCTGGCCAAGGAAGAGGAGAAGCTGCAGTTTGCCCTTGGAGAGATAGAGGTGCTGTCTAAACAGCTGGAGAAAGAGAAGCTGGCCTTTGAAAAGGCGTGAGTGGGCCTCGGTAGGGGTGTAAGGTTAGGGGTCCCCTTAGCCTGTCAGCCTTCCCACCCTTTCTTATCTTCGCCACCCAGGCTCTCCACTGTCAAGAGCAGAGCCCTGCAGGAGTCCAGCAAGAAGGACCAGCTCATCACCAAGTGCAATGGTAGGCGGGAGGCCCGTGTTCCTTCCCAAGTTAACATACACGGGCTCTTCCCTAACTGCCCAATGCCAGTATCCAGGGCAGGGTTTCACCCCAACTTCTGTCCCCGACTGAGGATACAGGCAAACCCAAGCGGGCCACACCTTCGCAAATGCCTCCAGGGACCAGGCAGGCCACGGAAATGAGGGAAGCAGTTGGTGTACAATATCCTTCATGGCCATAAAGGAACGGGCTCGCTCCCATTTTTTTGAAGCATACAACTTTCTTAGTCCACCTTTTGTTTTCCACTTTTGATGGATATTAGAAATAATGTACTCTACTCATAACTCTGATACAGGTGCAATGGTATCATGGAACAACAGGGCACGCACAGTCCTATTTGAGAGCTGACCCTTAGTCTCAGGTTTGGGATGAGTGGGGACTGTGGTGATGTGGAGAGCCATGCTCTCTCCCAAGGGCTTAGCTCCTCTGCTGTGGGAATGGGGTCCAGTACTGTCAGAGCTTTAAAAAAAGAAACCAGGTTTTAATGGAAGTTTTTCTGAGTTTTTAGCGTTGTCAACTGATTTAGAAGCTTTAAAAATATGGTATGGGCCAAGTAAAGTATGCCTGTAGGCCATTAGTTTTCAGCTCTGCTCCATGCAGATGCATGTAGCTTCTTGGCTCAGTTGGGGCTGTGAGTTGCAGGGCACTTTCAGTCAACTACCCAATGTCCCTAGACCTCAGGAACCACTTTCATTTTCCCAGGATGCTAAACTCCCCTTACTTAGCTTAAGAAGTGGATGTGAATTCCATACATCTGCTTCATTCACTGCAGTAGATTTTGAGTAGGCTAGAGCCCAGAGCTCAAGCCTAAAAGAGGTTCGGGGTCTCTCCTGATGGGCCCCACCTGGAGCCCTGGGCACCCTCTATCCTCCACTCCAGCCTTCTCTCTCCCCTGGTGAGTATTCTCACTGGGAAGTTGCCAGCAGACTACCATCTTGATCTGGCTGGGGAGGCTGACAGGCCTCATGGTTGTTTGATCAAGAGCTCCCCTTAGGGCCTCTTGGGGCCCAACAGGCAGTCACTGCCTTCATACCCAAGACACTGGTCCCTAGTCCTTTCCCTCTCTCTGACCCCTCCCCACCCCCACTTCCCTAAAAAGGAACCTAGGGTTCTTTCCCGGTGGTGTTAGGAAAAAACATCCTTCCTTTAGGGCATTTCCTAGAGCGCAGCCAAGGCTACAGGGCTCTGCGCCTGGAAGGTGTGTGTGAGTCAGGCTGATGGAGCCTGGCTGCCTCCCCTAGAATGTCCTGCATCTCTCCAGTGGGCACAAGCCTTCACCTGAGCAAAACAGGTGACCTGGCCTTCTCCTCACCTGTACCTCCCCGCTGCCACCTCCCTTTGTGTGGTTTCAATTTGGTTGTACTTACATAGTTCTGAATCTTTTCAAAGGGCTTTTCTAACTATTCTCTCATTGGGTGCTATTTATTTTAATTTATTTTAAAAGATTCACACACATTTCTGATACTTTTTCTCAAGAGAACTTCACAAGCAATGAGTCTGGATTAGCTGGCTGCCCTGGGGAAGGAGTTATGATAGTCCTGTTCCTATGATTCCGTGAGCTCATGTTTTCCTTCTTTGTTCACCTGTGTCTCCTCTTTTTCTGCCAGACCGTCTCTTCTGAAACCGTAAATGCTTTAGCATGTCTGCATTTTCAGAGTTTGTGTTCTAGTTCATCTTTGTCCAACCTTTAAAGGCAGTGGGATTTTCTTCCTGTGAGGATCAGATTTTCCAGGGCTTCCTGAGGGACAGTTATGTATATGAAGCACCCCCCGAATCCTACAGCCTCATTGGATTCTGACCCAAGTCACAAAAGTCATCCTGGCATCTAATGAGCACTTAAGTAGTGGGTAAGCTTTTCCACCACTAATCTCCCTGGGTCCTTCCCACCCCATATAGGCTGTCTCTGTCCCCATATTATATAGATGAGGACATGGTTCTGAAAAGGAGACATCTTGCCCAAAGGGGTAATACTATCTCACCAATATTAACGTCATTGAAACGTCACCTTATTCTGTCCTCTGGTCAGTTCCTGAGTCTTAACACTCCTTTCAGGAGCTGCTGCCTTGAGGGCAGGGACCCTGCACGGGAATAGGCATCTGGCCGGCCCTCAGTAGGTCTGGTGGGATTGAGATGACTGAACTAGGTGATGTTTCTATGTCCTAAATCCTCAGGGGACATCCTGTTCATTCATTCCACAAATTTATTGTGCACCTACTATGTGCCAGGTATTGTTTTAGGCCTTAGGGTTAAAACAGTGAATAAAACAAAAATCCTTGTCCTTACATCCTAGAAGGGGAGAAAGTAAATGAGTAAAATAAATGGTATGTTAGGTATAAATGCTAAGGAGAAAAATAAAGCTTTTCCCTGCTTTATTTTAATAGGAAGTATTAGGAAGGGTTGTAATTTTAGACTAGGAGAGGTCTCACCAAAGAGATGATATCTGCAAAGATCTGCAGGAGTTGAGGCCAGGAGCTGTTCATCCTCCTGCCTGTGGGCAGGGCTACCACCTCTCTCCAAGGGCCTTTGCCTGCCTTCATGTGAGTCACCTGGTCCAGAATAGAGTTGTGAAGTCACTGACACATTCATCAGACATTGTGTCCCCACCACCCCATCAAGACTCCATAATAAACTCATTCTTACTAAGGTATTGGCAGCTACTCATGGAGAGCCTGTGGGTGGAGGGAACCAAGTTCTGAAAAGACCTGTGAGGGAATGAATGCCTTATCTCAGGAAGGAGCCCATGGGATGGAACCACCTCCTCCCTGCCTCTCTCCCCCCACAGAAATTGAGTCTCACATTATAAAGCAAGAAGATATACTTAATGGCAAAGAGAATGAGATTAAGGAATTGCAGCAAGTTATCAGCCAACAGAAACAGATCTTCAGGTGAGGGGTCATGGACAGGTTGGGGGTTGTTGATGGAAGTGGAGATCCAGACCTCTGGTCCCTATCTTGGGCTGTCCCCAGCCCACGCCCAGCCTAGCCGGCTCCTTGCAGGAATCACATGTCTGACTTCCGGATCCAGAAGCAGCAGGAGAACTACATGGCCCAGGTGCTAGCCCAGAAGCATAAGAAAGTCTCGGGGGCGTGTCAGGCCCGGAGCCACCAGCGTCCCAGGGAAAAATAAAATAATCATTACCTTTCTGTTATCTGGTTGTAATCTGACCTCTGATTTCTCTGTTGTGGGCATTCCCATCCTGACCTTTTCTATCCCTCTCAGGCCTCACCAGTGGCCTGACTCCAGGGAAGGGGCAGGATAAGAGGAAGAAGACACTTTCCTTCCCTCCTCCCTGCCTGTCATGGACCTTGGTGACCTAAGTGAGAATAAGTTACCAGAGACTGGGTGGGGAACAGGCCTTGGACCACCACCTACCAGGGGGTCCATGGAGTTATGGGGTTGCAGCCTAGGGAAAGACTACTTTGTTATCTAGTGAACACTGTCCTTTCTTACTCTGTGTTTAACTCCTGCCTATATAAACAGCCATGTGTGTGTGAGAAAGAGAGGCAGAGAAAGCCCTGACAGGAGACTTCAAAGACAGTGGGTTCCAGGACCACGATAAACTTAGGAAATCAGTTTCCATGACAAAACAAAAATGTTATGCTGCAAATTACATGTGCACCTTCTTATATACTTCCCCCAAACAGAAGCTCATCAGTCTTCACAAATGGAAGGGGAAAGGATAATGCCATTTTTTAAAAATAGAGCTTGAACTCTTTTATTGTTTTAATCCTCACCCAAGGATATGTTTTTTTTCATTGATTTTTTTGTAGAGAGAGAGGAAGGGAGACAGAAAGGGAGGTAGAGAGAGAGGAAGGGAGATAGAGAGGAAAGGAGGTAGAGAGAGAGAAACATCAATGTGAGAGAGAAACTGATCAATTGCCTCCCATATCCAGACCAAAGGGATCGAACCCCAACCTAGGTATGTGCCCTGACTGGGAATCAAATCTGTAACCTTTTGGTGTATGGAACAATGCTCCAACTAACTGAGCCACCCAGCCAGGGCTGCCATGTCTATTTTTAAGGTGGGGAAACAGTCTGTGAAGGGGCTGTGACTTGCTGAAGCTGCATATTAGGGCCGGATGTGATGGACAGGCTTCATTCTCTCAGAAGCCATCACTAATGGCCAGGTGATCATGGACACACACCCAGGCAGGGGACCCACTCAGGAGAGGCTGAGTCATATTCGTCAAGTCAGGAGGAGCCAGTGCTCTTGCTCCAAGACCAACTGGGGACCTGAACCATAGCAGTACCTTGCAGTCAGAATAGAGCAAATGGTGCCCATTGTCACTGTCCCACAATGACAGGTGGTGGCTGCTTCCCCACCAGTGCCTGTCCTCAGGGCCATACGGAGGTGGTGGGGGCTGAAATGAGTACTTGGAGGAGCATAGGGCTAGTTCTGCCTCAGGGACTTTAGAGAAGGGACCACAGCTACCCAAAAGGTTCCTGAGAGCCCACATCCGCATCCAGAGCTTGGTTGCCTTGGAGAGCTGTCCACTCCAGGCAATGGATCCAGCCAGGGACAGCACCTTCCTGAGGCCCCAGCACAACTTTGGGAGTGGGGGAGCCCTCCAAGCGATGCTCCTCTATTAAAGGCTGTGGAGTGCCAGGTCAGGGAAAGTGGGTGCACTCTTCGGAGCTCCAGCTGGGATGGGATGTCAAGACCTGGGAGGAGGGTGCCATTCCGTGATGGGAAGGCTCTGAGTGGAAAATGAAATTGCTGGCAACACCTAAGTCGCCTGACCCGAAGGTCTGGTCCCCTGGTGCTCACAGTGGTCCGCATGCCATCGATAGTGCTTCACCTACGGCAGGTCCCCACTCAGCCTCAGTGTCCTCACCTGTGACGCGTGGAGTTGGGCCTCGCTCCCGGCTCCACTTTGGACACCTGTCAGCCAAAACCTGGAGCGCCCCCGAGGCGCAGGGGCCTGGGAGAGTAAGGCCCAGGGCCCAGGTCTCTCCTGCTGGCGACACCGCTGG